GCTTCTTGTTTCCAATAAAACTCAATTTTTCATTTGTTTTTTATTGTTTGTCTTTCGTGAAATTCAATTTATTTTTAATTTAAATTTAATTTATTAACGTATAGTAGAACTACAGCTGGACAAGAACGGTTATCATCTTTAGCATTAATAAATATACAAAAACATTATCAAATCAGTATTGATATCATTGTAACCCATTTTATATCAAAAAAAAGATGAAAGAAAAAACGTATTTTAAAATTAAATAAAAAAATGCGTATTTTTCTTGAACAGAAATTGATTTTTTCTGCTATTAATACATATTTAGTAGCACTAGCAATCATTCGAAGAGTTAAAAATGAAAGAAGATTCTTACGCCTATAGTTCTTTCAAAGAGAAGCAGCTGTTAAAACATTCGAAAAACTTTTATGCGAGTATCAAGTTTCACATCCAATGATCAGTGAACGAAGACAGTTAGAAAGACGAACATGAGTCTTTGATTACTCGTTTTGAGTAAATTTGTTTTCAAGAAAAAACGTTAGCCTGTTATACGATTCTTAATTTACTCTCTGATGAATTAGTATGCAAACTTTTAGCGCCATGAGTTTGAAAAAACTAGGTTTATAAAGAAAGTTTCTACTGTACTCTGCAGAACCCATCAGTATGTGGAAGGGTGTACACTGTACAGCCTTGTTTAAAAGTTTATTGCATACCCTAAAAAACTGAAGCTGCACCGCCCATGGCGAGGATTGAATCGGAACTGACCTTAATCATGTAATCTTTGAATTTCTGGAACGCAGTAGAACTCGAGGGCGGTCGTGATCGTGAATCGAGGCTGTAGGTGTGGGTATTATATATGGATATTTATCCACGACCATACCCACTTCCTCAAGATTTGTTATAAAAAGAAATAAATAATTCATTTACATCAAATTTCATGATTTAAATAAAATATTTAGAATAAAATTGTTTCATTTCTATATGATAATTAAAAATAAATGTGAATAAATGTTGCTGTTAGAATTGAGAAAAATAATTAATAAATGAAACAAATAGAAGTGAGTGTATTGGTCAATTTTGTTAATTAAATATTTCAGTTGTTCTTGATTCTAATATAATATGAATTTAAATAATTAATATATAATTTTTCTTATTTTCTCGATTTGACTGATTTTATTGAAGAAGATAATCATAATGATTAAACAAAATTTTTCTTAATCTAATTTAATTGTCTGAATAAAAAAAGAAAGATTCTTTGAATTGATAAATAATTTTTTAATAAATATCGAAATTTATTTTATAATAAAATGAAAATATTTCGATTTAATACAAAAGTTGTAATATGGTTGAATAAAAGAGATATTTTCAATCTAGTTTCATTAAATGGTCCCAATGGTTTTATTTCGATAGAGATTCAATCCTGTCGATGTAATTTGTTTTATTTGTTCCACAAAAGACATAAACAACACATCAGATTTAATGAAATTAACTTTGATCGATAGAATTATTTAATCTATTCAATTTATTTATTAAAAAAATGAATTTTTTCATATTAATTATGAGGAACAGTTTGTTTAAAGATTTTGTTTTCTTCTTCGTATATTAAATTGACTGAAATATTTGATAATTAAATGAATAATTTGAGATTAATTTTTTCCTCTTTAAATAAAAATTGACAAACTTTATTATCTTTTAATTGATTTTATTTGATTAAAGATTTATAAGAAAATTTCTCATTTAATAAATATTGTTTTTTTCTTTGATATTTTCTTGTTTTAATTTAAGATTAAATAAGTGATTTAATTTAATATTTATTTACAAAATCAAATCTTTTTTTTGCTTTTTTCTTATATAAAATATAAAAGTGAAATATTATTTATGTTCAATTTGAAATAAAAAAAACAGAAAATATTTTATTTCGATATAAATACTCATTTTTCTTATTATTATTTTAGATCGAAATCTGTATCAATAATTGAAAAGAATAGCAGATAAATATAATAATTTTATTATTAGTGTTGCAAATGTCTTGATAGATTGTTTAATGATGACAAAAACAAAACATTGTTTCTTCTTATTCAAACATTTGACAGTATGAAATATGATCGAAAACACTCAATGTGAATATGCCATAATTAGACATTAGTAAAGTAATAATTAATTTTTTCTTGTTTATCAATAAATCTCTGATCATTTCAACTATTTATATTAAATTTATTACAACAAACGTTTTCTTACAACTAATTGTAACTGAAAAGGTATTTATGGATTTGTGTATCTGATCAATAAATAAAATGATAAGAAATGAAAGAGTTGATTAATATTATTATTCTTTTTTTATGGAAAAAAGGCAAAGAAAATGTAGTTGAAAGTCTTCGTAAACCTGCATTGAATATATATGAGGAATTCCTTTATATTTCATCTGATTTTTTATTTATAAAATATTCTAATAAAGCAGTTTTATAATAAATAATTATCAAGCATCGATAATAATATTGAGTTAAAAAAAAAAGAATTCAACGATGATTAAGCATAAGTTGTTGTAAACAAGTTATTTTGAAAATCTCATTTAAAAGAAAACAAATAAGTTGAAATGGGAAGAATATTTCAATAGAAATATTAAGAAAAATGATTTTATTAATAAAAATTATTTGTTAAAAATTGGAAATTATTCTTGTTTAATATATTTATTTTTATAGAATAAAATATTTTATAGAGAGAAAAATAAACATTAGATTTTTCTAATTCATATAAAAAGATTTTTTTTGCAACAAATATTATCTTGATTATTTCTTATTTTCATGGGTTTTACTCTGACTATTAATGTATATTGTATAGGAAGCTCTGGAATAAATAATTATATGAATACACAGAAATATTTCCTCGTAATTAATTCCATAAGAAAAAAAAATCCTTCTGCACTCTTTAGTGAATTAATGAAGTGAACAATTAACAAATGTACTAGACCTTCTAAAATATCTATTTAATGTGAAACTAGTCGTTTTATTGACAACCATCAATCTTTGTGTCATGACAAAGAAAACTTTTCGTATTCATAGTAATTTGACTCTCAGCTATTTAAATCTTAATAAAAATTCAAGGTCTATTCCATAATAGATATCCTATAATAATCAAATTTTCGGATAAATAATAGATAAAGTTCATCATTCTTATCTTTTATCTATTTTAAATGAATTTCATTTAAAGAAATATGAAAATTTTTCCCTTTTTTTGTAAAATCACTTGTCATCTGTTTGTTACCTTGAATCTTTTTACTTTTTTTAAATATACGGTCACTTTCGGCTAAGTGTGTAGATGAAATATATTCGAAAAAAAAGAAACGAAAAATTTTGTTATATTGAAAAGATCAGAAATAAATCATTCGATGAAAGATGCAAACAGTGTTCCATACACAATAAGAAATAAAATCGATAACTACACACATTATTGCAGTTTTCTTCATTTCTCTGATTTTGATTATTTAATTGTGATAAATTGTTTATTAGAATAGTTTGAAAAGTAAAAGAAAATATTTTAAATATCATATATATGTTGTGCAAGTATGATTAGAATATTAGAAAGATATACAAAAGATATAGATTTAATCTCAATGACAGACTTTTCTTAAGTGTTGTTCACTAATAAATAATTGTTACGTAAAGAATCCAATTGATCTACTTTCTTGCATCTATTTTGTACTTGTCAAATTATTAATTTCAATTCTCTGAAATTCCCTATGTCAGTTTGTTTCTGTTTTTTCTCCAAATATATCCAATATGAATAGTAATTTAATAGAAGAGAATATAATCATTAATATAGTGTAACTAATTTGATGAAAATAGATATAACAATGGTACCATTATATAAGTAAAATGCCAATTGAATAGATTTGATTTGTCTTGATCAGTGTTGATATCAGTTGTCAAAAATCTAGAATCAGCTTTACCTTTATAATGTAGATAAAATTAAAAGAAACCAATGAATAGAAAGAAAAATGATAATTATCATATTTTGATACTTTGAAGATATTTTTTGTGTTTTGTTATTTATTATATTTATAAATGTTTTCATCATTATACTTATTCAAAAAGGTAGAAATTCCACAACTATCTACATAAGTCATATATTCACATAAGCAGAGTATCGGAATTAATCAAGGGGGAAAAACGAGACTTTAATACTTCCGTACTCTCTTTGTATTTCCATTATACTCCCATCGTACTTCAAAACAGTTCTGAAGTAGATGAAGTCTCGCTTTTCTCTCCTTGATAAGAGTTCATTCTAAAATATTTTAATCAATTCGATTGTTTGTTTTATGAAATATTTAATATTTTCCAGAATATTATTTTTGAGTTGATAAATAATGTTGACAAAAAATTCGATTGTATATTATAGATGCTTATTATAATTAATACCATATATAAGTTTTTGATGTTAAATAGCTTTTAAGTTTTATCAAATAATTTTTTATGACATACTAAGATTATTTTGTCAGTACTTTCCTTCATTGTCTATTTAGTTTAAGAATGATAATATGACTTATTTGTAATAGCTTAGGGTTAAAACCAATATTTAAATAATCAATAAAACATTGTTTAAGGGTGTAAATGTGGATACTGTATTCACCTAGTACCAAATCACACCCTCACCCATACCCTCAAATCTTCTTTACAGTTCAGACCTCTCCGAAGTCTATTAGTGCATATATTTTATTAGAATTTAAACTTGCGAAAAAATAAAGAAGTGAAATAATCGAGTATTGGTAGGTGGAGAGAAGCTAACTAGTTGATAATGTTGGTAATAGTTGATAGTGATGTTCGATTTTTCGATGTGGACTTTTATTTGTGCCAAATATCCTATGAAGACAAAAAGCATACTCCGATCATGCAAGACTATACAATACTAGATGTGATAAACTCAAAGAAGAATATATAAATGATAGAATAAAATATCACGATATTCTTCAGATGAGTTATCATCGAAACATTATGTTCATGTAACATACCAAGCTTATCGTAAATTTAATTTTTACCGCGATAATAACGATGACCAGGAGGAGCAACCTTCGTTTTACAACGTGTTTTAGAAGCATCACGGCCATCACAACGATCACTAAGAATTGTTCCGGCTGCGGGATCACCAGTAACACTGCCAGTAACATCACAACCGCAACGCTTTCGTCCATAAGTAATAAAAATGCCGTAAGCTTGACATACAACACAATGGCCGGAATTAGGATCATTATACCCACAACATTCGCTTGAACTCTCGCAAAGCCCATCAAAAGGAACACAAGCACGCTTAACAACGAACTGATCAAAGTCTTCCGATGATTGTGCACTGCAGTACATTGTCAAGGATACCACGATTAAAATGAAATAAACCACTGATTTCATGTTGTTCATTTTTCTGCTGTTAGTTGGAGAATGAATATGAATAGATAAATTAGTTATAATAAATGTATGATTATGATTTTATAGTGATACTGCGTCTCTTACATATGTAGTGATTGCGATAAAACTATTTCTGCATTTACAATGCAGAGTGGAGCGAAGGCAAATATCTCCAAGGACACTCGAAAAACGAAGAATAGTCCAACACTGTAACAAAAAAAGTTCTGTCGAGACGAGCAGATTTGATTTTACCTACAGGGATGTTTGGATATACATTCATCACTATGATAGAAATAAATAGTGCAATTAACGATATTAGTGTGTTTTTCTTTTAACGCTTTGAGCATGAAAATATTTTTTAATTAAAAAGTGATTCTTCAATCGTTTTATATTATTTAGTCTAAAATGATGCCATAAAAATCTTATGATAATGCAAAAAAAACAGTTTTTCTTATCTTTTAAATAAAATGCTACTTTGCAAGCGAGACCATCTTGAGTGTGGGTGCCGGTGTAGTTGTGGTCGAGGTTAGGAAAAGATATATTCGCACCCGCAAGATGGTCTTATCTACTTAATAATATGACATTAATTATTGAAACACAATTTACTCAATAACAACAACCTTATACAATCTTGATTGATAATGAATAAGTAATGTCTACTGTTTCGCATGTTTATAGAATAATTAATGATCAAGAAACAGAAGTAACAACACAAGAAAAATCCTTAAAACAACGTTCTGATACAAATTATCAAATTATACTTAAATTTCAAGGTCCAACAAAGTTAGGTCGTTACGGTGTAAACATTAATTATGAATCTTATCAAAGAGTTTAAATCATAAATAAAATTTATCAATTATTTTTTGATTTATATAATTTAATTGCTTTTCCATCTTCTAATCTTCCACATTTAGCTTGTAAACCTATCATACAATTTTCAAATATTTTAGGACTTTTATAAATATCTTAAGGATGCATGAGAGTAATTAGAATATATATTATATATTCACACCCTAATCCTAGAATTTCAGATGAATTCAAGTAAATAAATTATATAAACGATTTGATTTATAAATCGATGCATATTCATCGAAATTAGTACTTTATAGTATGTTATTATACAATTTACATGAAAAATAATTTTTTTCTGTATAGTAAACTTAACTAAATCATATTTAACAATATTTTTTCATGTAATCATGGTACTCGCTCTATCATATTGATTGTCTCGTGAATAGTTTTATTATCTTTCTTGTAGAGAAGAGTTCCGCAGAAATAAATTGTTTTCTTGCTTAATTGCTTGTATGTCTGCAGGATCAGAAAGACATCGAAGATCGATTTTTAGCAAAAGACATTTCTAGAGGTATTTCGATGCGGGGACTTCATGCGTGCGCCTCATTTTCTCAGGTGATTGATGGAGGGTGGTATTATTTGGAAGAAGTGACGTGAAGTGATAGAAACCGAGTTTTTGAGTAATACAATTTTATGGGTATCCAAATGTTTCCTTGCTTACAGTGCAGAGTATGGCGATCATAAACTGTTGGCAATTCCTACGTATAAGATTACTAACACTCCGCTTATTCGTTAAAGGCTAATTCGAGAAGCCACTAGCGCCGGCAGCTCAGATATGTTTTGATCTATGTCTATGTTTACCACTGAGTAGGATGCGAGTAGAAAGAGCTAAGTGAGTCTGCAGACGAGCGTCACTTGTTTATTTATATATGAAAGTATTGATTCTGTTCTTCAATTACTTTCATGTATAAGTATATAAATACAGGTAATCTATTCATTTTATATGGATGAGTTTATCAATGGTATAAACTATTCTTTATTATTGGAACAGAAAGAATAATTCATTCTTCTATGTTTCTGTTGAGTATCTTTCCTTCTTATCTAACATAACGAAACTCTACTTGTTCAAACAATAATGTAATCATGAGCTTCTTTTCTATAATACATATCTTTTCAATATATATTGCTTAACTCACCAGCGAGTGTTACTGCTCATATTATGTTCTCAACAAGAACAGAGTTTCCATAGATATTTTTTTCATCAGTTTTATTTTTCTTTCAAAAACAAAAAAAATACAGAAAAAAAATTATACCATCGTTATCAACTGTTGGATGTTTTTTTTTTATAAATTTCCATTTGAGAATGATCTATTGGTAGTGCATCTACCACTTTTTCATAAAAAACCCGAGCTTCTGAATCGTTGCCCATCCCAGGTCAATGGTTCCGAGCGGCGTTTCCGACGTCGTATATTTGACAGCAGTCTAGCTTTCATTTCGTCGGCTCTATCGTAACTACCCAGGATGAGAATTCCGATGCTCGTATATGATCGTATACGATGATGTACGATCACAGTATACTATTGTATTTATAATTGTATATTGTGGTGTCCATGCCATCATAATCAGGAAACATTGGCGAGTAATCGTCAATTTTGGCGATAACATCGCAAATCTAAGTAAAAATATAATTATTTTATTTAAAATAACTTACCATTCGTATTGTTCTTAGGCTAATCTTAATGCTTCATTGAGCTTTAAATATAAGTAACATTTAGAGCTATACCACCAAATAGGTTGTTGTTTACGATAGCCTTTCAATTCTTCAATTGTACGAGAATCAATACTATTTTTAGCTAATGTTCCACGATAATATTGAATAAATTCTGTAATGTGTTTTTCTTCGAAATCAATGGTTAACAAGATCTCTTTTAAGACCTGAGAATACATAAATGATGGATCTAATTGATCCGTTTTGTTTGGTTCTACAATGCTGATTGATGTAGCATCTTGCTCACATTGGCGAGCAGCTTTTTTAAGAGCTTCACAGACTGATGTTATATCTGTGAAGACTCCTTTTATTTTAAACCATCCATCGGCCAATTGTTTATACAAATCTTGTTTGTGACAAAAAATAAAAATGCTGTCTACTTGGGATATGTCACGCACATGAGGCACAATACGTTTTCCAAGTGAACCAGAAACAACCATACATATTTTGTTGTTAGTATTTTTTTGAATAAATTCAAGACATTGTTTATCATCTGTAAATGTGTTTAGGTTGTTAACTACACGTTTCAATTGCTTCATCTTATCATTACAATCAACATCATAAACATTAATATTGATGTCTAACCAAATAAGGAGAACATTTTGCATTCTTTGCATGTTGACACGTCGATTTGCAATTGTCATTTTTTGTTGTAATGTGGACTACTTCACGAAAAAATATCTATAAATGAATGAAAAGAATGTCTCATTTAATAGTATAAGAATTTTTTTTCGAGATTGTTCTTTTTATCTTCATTCACATTATTTTCTCTGTTATAAGTATTTCCCTTGGCTTCTTCATATTTGTTAAATATACATCACTGACTTAGCTGGGGTCGAATTCGATCTATATTTCCTATAAATCCTATATTTTGTGCTATATATTGCTCATTTTTCCTTTACTGTGTCGGACAAAGTGAGAAAATGTTCAAAAATCAGTCAGTTCTGCTATGCATAGCCTTTTTTTATTGGAAAGTTCATATATCTACCAAATAGTCAAATATTTTTGAAGAATAAGTGTATAATATGTTTTCGCTTACTAAATCGATTGACTGAAAATTCTTCAATACTACGTTAAGTAAGTTAACAGAAAAAACTAGTTTAAAAAATAATTATGTACTCTTCGAAACCTTTTACTACTGTCTTACATACTTATACATATAAATTTATACACTTATAGTGAATATATATTATATTAACAGACCTGAGAAACGAAACTACATGAAGAAGAAAACCAACAAATAAAACTATAAATGAAAAATTATACACGAATAAATTATATACGCTTCCATTCATCCGTTAACTCTTTTATACCTCTCTCATCCTCTATACTACAAACACTGTTATATATATATTTATACGCGTGAGGTCGTTAAACGATATTGTAACATCTTTTATTTTTATTATTCTTTTCTTTTATCTTCTTCTCTTTTCATACTGATCTTCTTTCTCGTTTTCTTTCTTCACGTGTGAACCTACATTGGCACATAGAAGTAAATAAAAGAATGTTTTCTGCATATAGATGACAAAAATCTATTGAAGGCATTTCAGTATCATCCAATTTTGAAAATAAAAACCTGAAGATATTCAACAAGACTTCGTGTTTTTGAGAATTAAATTATAGTACTTCTATTTATCCATTTTGAAAAAATCAATATGTTTGTGTTATCTTTTAGAAGTAGCTTAAATTCAACTAAAATTTATTTCTGAAAACTATCACATTTTATCTTATGAAACATAAAGAACTTAACTATTCATAATTTATGAAATAAGCGAGCGATATTTATGAAGGAAAAACATATGATGATCAGTGTTTTGAATGGTTTGAACCAATTATTATAATAAATCATGACTTAGTTATTGACTAAGTCATGGTATATATTCACATATTGTTCTTTCATTGAAAAGCATCGATTTGTAAATCAAATAGTTTATTTACTTGGATACATCTGAAATTCTAGAATTAGGGTGTGAGTGTATCACATATATTCTAATTACTCACATCCACCGATACCCTCATATGACTATGATTTTAGAAGAAGCAATTAAATTATATAAATCAAAAAATAATTAATAAGTTTAAAGTCTTTGATAAGATTCATAATTAATGTTTACACCATAACGACCTAATTTTGTTGGACCTTGAAATTTAAGTATAATTTGATAATTTGTATCAGAATGTTGTTTTAAGGATTTTTCTTGTGTTGTTACTTCTGTTTCTTTATCATTAATTATTCTATAAACGTGTGAAACAGTAGACATTACTTGTTCATTATCAATCAAGATTGTATAGGGTTGCTGTTGTTGAGTAAATTGTGTTCCAATAATTAATGTCATATTATTAAGTGGATAAGACCAAAAAAATGAATTTGTTAGACATTTTGCATATTCAGTTTTTGATATATCAACTGTACTTGAATAACAATCACCAGAAAAACTTATTATAGCTTTGCATGTATCAAGCTTACTAATATGTGTTTCACAAGAACTATCATTATTGATATCACGAATTGTTCCACTATGAACAACAGATATAAGAACCAACGTTATAAATAAAGAAAAGAATGACATTGTATGAAAATGAATGATAAAAAAAACGTAAATCCACGTTGATTTTATATTAAGTTTTAATGATGACGAATGTAAAAAAAGAAAGATAAAAACAAATGTGAAAAAATAACATATTACAAAAGTATAGATTAAATGACACAGATTTTTACTTCATCATTGATGACAATTAATTCTAAAGTGATATTTTAATCTTCAAGAAATATATCAATTTAAAACATTTTTGTTTTCAATATTATCATAGAATCAAGGCCGTTTTATAAACGATTTCTAAAACCAAGAGGGGTGGGTTTGAGCTTGAATATTTTACTTATCCATCCACTCATACCCAAGATATCAATGCATATATTGATTAATTAATAATCTTCCAGTTTTATTATTAATATCAAAGCAAACCACACAGAAAAGAAAACCATATTTTCATACAAAAAACACATTTTTAAGTTTCCTACACCTGTACATATATAGTAAAATAATTTACAAAAAAGCTATGAAAAACCGAAGAATCAAAGCAAATAAATAAGTAAAGAAAAATGTACTGTATTACATAAACAAAAAAAAAGAAAAAAGCTAAGATCACAGAAAAAGAAAATCATATATATAAATATGCCACTTTATTTCATTTTTTTTTGGTTTTTAATCAAAACTTGCTGGACTATTATACCAATTATAAACTTTTAAACATAAAATTGGATCAATAATAACAACTGAATCATTATATTTTTTTGATGTTTGTAAACATAATCTTGATGAATCAAATAACATTCTTAATTTATGATATCGATAATCACTACTAACATTTAATGTTATTTGTGATAATATCATACCCATATAAGGACCAATTGGTACGAAATTTGAACAAATTAAATGTAATATACAACAATCTTTATCAATAATATATTGATTATTTGTTTGAAGTATTGGTGATAAAGCTTGAATTTGAATTTGTTGTTGTTGTTTTGATTGTTTAATATTATCAAAACGAAATTCAAAATAATAATTATATGATTCACGTTGTGTTGTTGTTTCTAATCCTTTCGAATACCAAATACGTACACATCGTGATGAACGAAGAAAATGTGGATCTTTTTGTATAGTATCAGTTTTATTTAAACGATCTTGAAATAGTGGATATACTTGATATAATGATTTAATAACATGTGTACGAATTATTGATAAATGTTCATGAACAAGTATTCGACTAATTTTATTTGCTTCTATTTTATTATGTCTATTGAAAACAAAAAAAAATACATAAATATTTGAAATTTATTTAAATATTATTTTTTTTTACTTTCGAAATAAACGCATCCAAAAATAAACAGTATTAATTACATGATTTGATGTTCGACAAATTAATGAGAATTTACCAATATCTTCCGGTGAAATATACATTGCAATTATAAACCATAAATCAATAGGATAATCAATTCCATCAGAATTATTATCTATTGAAGATCTATGTTTTGTAGGTTGTTTATATTTTGATCGAATGATTTCTTGTTGAACTAAAATAAAAATTTTATTAAAAAAAAATATTCATATATGCATATCAACCTTCATGTTCTTCATCAGATAATTGTGGATCATCAAAATCACTTAAATCTTTTTCATACCAATCTTGTTCATCTAATAAAGTTTTACATTCACGAGTTAATTTCGATGTTGTTCGTAAATTATTTTGTGGTGAATCTTTTGATGACCGTGAATAATCATATACACTAAAATCTAAAATAAACACAAGGTTAAATTATAAAGAAATAGATATTTTTATTGACCTTACCTTTGATAGCGAGACGAAGGGATTCTGTACCAGTACTATTTTTAGCACCGTTACGATTTTGTTTGGAAGCTCGTCGAGGCATTAGCTAGTGGTTTTTAGAAAATAATACATAGTAAAAAAAGGTTGAGCATAAGAAGCCCAAAGTGGTCCAACACCAGCCTGTATCGGCCATTTTTTCAGACAGATCAAATTAACATACACTACTACTATTTATATGATATTCAAAAAAACATATGACTCATCTTTCAACATGAAAAAAAATATTTTTTTAATTATAAATTCATAAATTTAATTTTATATTTATATTCGTTTTCTTTACTTGAATTCTTATTTGAAAAATTATCTATAGATGTCACTCTATGATAATACGGAAGAACATTAATATGTTACTAAGCAGCGATAAAAAACGTATGACTAACATGAAAAATAATCAGCTATAGAAACGTACAAAATTTTTTTCTATTTTAAACATGCCGGAAGATTCACGGAAAACTCATGTATTAACTACAATTGCTAATTATTTTGGTATTGAATATGATAGTTTATCATCATTATCTGATCATCGTTCATTAAATAGTTTTCTTGATGATAAAAATTGTCCATTACTTTCAGCAACACGTGGTAACAAACGTTCAATTGATCTTTCAAATGAAGTATATTTATTATATTAAACTAATTCTCTGTTTTTTTCTATCAAAATAATAAATTTTAGATCAAAGTTGTTGAGGGTATACAATGTTTGGTTCTATATAAACTTCGACCTGAGGTGATCACATCAGATAATGTTCATACAAGTATATTTTTATCATCAATGATTGATTCACCATTAGATTCTCTATATTATATGATTAAATCTGTATTTACACCAGCATTACGTGACAATAATAATAATAATAAATCAAATCAAGCAGCTACTCAACAAATTCAAACATCATTAAATGAACTTGAACAAGTACTTCGTTCATCAGGAAAGAAAACACATGGTAGTTCATCATCATCAATGGCAATTATATCTCAACCAAAAGATGAAATCACTTATTGGCATGATATTGCAAAAAGTGCATCAACTAAAACAAATGATTTAGAACGAGCAAAATATTTTCTTAAATTATTCGATCCAGTCAAAGGAAATTTTGAAAATTTTGAAAAGTAATAATTTAGAAAAACTTTCAATCATATATTTCTTTTAAATTTTTAGTTTAACACTACTAGAACTCGTCGATGTTGTAGAAAAAACACAAGGTATAATAAATATACAAAAATCTATGTCCTTAGTAGAATTTTTGTATGTTATATTTTAGATGTTTATGATGAAATATGGAGACAAGTTGAATATGATGAATATCCTGAACAACGTATGAAACATTTATTAACAATAACATCAAATGCATTTGTGCAATCTGTTCAAAAACAATTATCAAATATTGATTTTTGGTCAGATTCAAAAGATTCAATAAAAAATCGTGAACATTTACGTAATGGAGCTAATATATGTGAACGATGGTCAATGGCTGTTGAACAATTAACTAGTATCTATTGGCGTAATTATCCTCCACATCCATGGAAAGGTGAGCCATTTCAAGCAACATATTTAATTCAATTTAAAAAACGTTTAAATCAAATAATAAGTATTCGTTCATCTTACGATCAAAGTTTACGTTTTAATCCATCAATGAATAAAGAAAATTTTTCACCAAATATTGTATTTGCACCATTTTCAAATCTTAATCCAATACAATTTAATCCATATACAGATCCACAATGGAATTCTGCAATGGATCAGTTCGAGAATATAATGTCACAAGCAGATCGTGATATAGCTAGACAATTACGTGAACATTTTCAAAAGATACGTTCTGATCCTCAACAGATGCTTAGTGATTTTAAACGTTATTTTGATTTAATTCAACGTGATACAATACGACAAGAATTAGCACCAGAAAGGGAATTACTTTTGAAACAATTCGAAAGTGATTTAAAAACATCAACAGATGATTTTCAGAATTTAACTAGTGGAGGAAAAAAATCAAATACACAAGGAGGCAATCGTACGGCAATTGCAATAGCACTTGATACAAGTCGACAGATCGAAGCAAAAGTAATAAAATATATAACTATTTAGTTCTTTTTAACGTTTTTTTTTTGCTTTTATTACAAAGGTAAATACTATTATTAATGATGGAACTAAATTAGTAAGTGATTTATCTGGTTTTGCACGTGTTGCTTCATCTGCTAAACAACTTAAACAAGATTTAAGTAAGTGGAGAAAAGATAAATTTAAAGAATGGTGTCAAGATACAATACGTGCAATTGATGATCCATCACAAGCATTAAGTCTTGAAACAAGTGGTCGTTTAATGGAAATTGATTCACGTGATGGAAAATTACGTGTACTTTATGGTGATAGATTAACTAATTTATTAAATGAAGTAAGACAATTATCATCACTCGATTATGAAATACCATCAAAAATTACTAAATGGGTAGAAATTGGTAAAAAATTTTCTCAATATGGAATTGAACTTCAAGCTGTAAGTTTTTTAATTTTAAACAAAAGCATTAAATATGCATAGATATATACATATGTGTAGGTAGCCCATTTTTATAATACAATCGATTCAGAAATGATTTCAAGTCAACAACCTATGATGCTCGATTTAGCTAAAAATTTTGAACGACTTGTTAAAGATCAAAAACTATCTCGTAAGATCTTGCTCTTTTTTTCAGTGTATTTTATAATAAATTTCATTTTGTTAAAGAACGAGCTGGCAATGATTCAGGTATTAAAATAACTTGGGAGAATCCTGAACAATTATCACGTTATATATTAACACTTCGTGCAGCAGCAGAAAAATTTAAAACTGAAAATTTAAAATTACGTCGTTATCATTCAACTATTCAACAGATTGTTTGTTCATTAATGAATACTGATTTATTACGTGAACGACAAAAATGGAATGATCAAACAAAAGAAATACGAAAAATCATGGAAAATTTAATTAATGAAGGTTATTCAGCAGATAATATGAAAGCATGGAGATCTTTTTGGGATAGACAATTATATAAAGCACTTGATCTTCAATATTCTATTGGTTTAAAAGCTTTCAATGAAAACTTACCTGATATTAAATTAGATCTAGTTTTCGGGTAATTAAACTCATTCGAAATATTGATCCAATTAATTTGTTATTTTTTTAGTGATAACTCTATTCAATATAAACTACCAAATTCTGCTGAAACACAATCAAGTATAGAAACAATTAAAATAACTTATTTTAATGAAATGAAAAATTTTTTAACATACCCATTAACATATAATGGTTGTCGAGATACATCGTCGTCAAAGAAAAGATTAATATATGAAAATATTATATCAAGACATAGTAAAGATATTGTTGCATGTTTTCTTGCATCAAATGAATTATTTGGTAGATTAGAACATGGTTTAGAACAATTTAAAGAATGGATTGTATTAGGACAAGTTGATATTGAAGAACTTGTTGAAAAATATTTATTAGATGTAAATGATTGGGAAAAAAATTTTCGAATTTTAAAAATTCGTACACAAGATGCAGAGAAATTACCTAGGTAAGTAAAAGAAATATTTTGAAAATCTTCTTCATATAAGTCATATACATTGTTTAGTGAAGTGCGATATGATTGTTTTTTGGTAAATATAAATCCTCTTAAATTAACCATAGAAAATCAAATACGACGTTTAAATGATTCTATGTTAACACATTTAAAACGATCAATAACACGTGATGCTGTAACTATTAATTCATTTGTTAATGAAGGTCTTGAAACATTAAATGATCGTCCACGAACACATGAAGAACTTGGTTCATCGTATAAAAAACATGATGAATTAAAATCTAAACGTCAAAATATTTTACCATTATATGAACGTCTTGAATCAAAAAATAAATTATTACGTTCAGTTGCTGGTGGTGGTCATGATCAACTTGTACAATTACAATTAAAATTAGATAAATTTGAAACAATGATGGATTCACATATACATATGATAGGTGAACAGAAGGATGTTTTAAAAAGAAATTTAAAATCTCGTTATGAAACATTTTTAAATGATTCGGATAAAATGAAATCACGATGGAAACAAATTCAACCTCGTGAACAAGATATGGAAGATGAAAAAAAATGTCGAGATTCATTAAAAATTGTTCGTGAAAGAGAAAAAGAAATTCAAGAGATGGTGAAACAAAAAGAAAAAATGATGTAAAAATTTAAAAAATAAATGAAATTCTTTTATTAATTCATATTTTGTTTCTGAATTTTAGTGAAGAATTTAAAAACTTTGGTATGAATGAACCAGAATTTCATGATTTAGATGAAGTTTATACAGATATTACACGTATTAAAAATGTTTGGGGAATCTATGAAGAATTTCAAGAAGATTTAGGTGTTTTAGCTAAAGAAGATTGGGTTACTTTTCGTAGTAAAACATATCGTTTTGATGAATTTCTTGCTCAATGGCAAGAAAAATTAAAAGAATTATCATCAAATGAATCAACAAAATCGTCAAAAAAAAATTCATCAAGTAATATGAATATTCGTATACAAGAAGATATTGAAAATTATCGATTACTTACACCTTTATTTAAATGGGTTCGAGGAGAAACATTATCACCTGATCATTGGATAGAATTATTTCGAATATTACAAATACCACGTGGTATTACATTAGAAAAATTAACATTTGGAGATATATTAAAAGCTAAAGATGAAATTATGAATAATTCAAATCAACTTAAAGTTTGTTAATTTAGACAAAAAGAAATTTTTCTCATTGAATTCTTTTAGGATTTAAATGCACGTGCACAAGCTGAACATACAATTCGTGAAGCTTTATATGAATTAGAAACTTGGGGTGCTGGTGCACAATTTTTATTAACAGATTATATTGATATAAAACAACAAAAAATACAAATTATTAAAGATTGGAAAGATTTATTTACACAAATTGGAGATAATCAAAGTCTTTTATCTTCATTAAAAGATTCACCATATTATAAAAATTTCGGTATGATTTTCTATTGAGAAATAGTTCTGATATTTGAC